AGCTTGGTTGCATTTTTGTGTGGCTCATATTAGATTTGTACATCAAATCAAGGATAATTGGTTTCCTTTTGATACTGATTACTAATCATGTCCTTTTGAAGTAATTTAGAAATGTGGGCCTTGCCGGGCAATGGTGGCACATGCCTTTAATCCCAGCACTCAGGAGGCAGAGGCAGGAGGATCTTTGTGAGTTCAAGGCCAGCCTGGTCTACAAGAGCTAGTTCCAAAACAGACTCCAAAGCTACAGAGAAACCCTATCATGAAAAACCAAAACAATAAAACAAAACAAAAAAAATTGTAGGCCTTACATGTTTCTTGGTACTATATCTGTATAATAATGCAAATTTGTCTTTAAGAATTTACTTTTGTAATAATTACATGTTAAACTACTTTATTAAATTACCAATTTGTTCTTACCAAGTACAGAATTATATAACTTGAAATTAGTAATGATTTGCTTCTTTCCCTAATCTTTTTCGTCCATAAACTCTTGCAGTTTATGCTGGAAGCTTTGGTGTATCCCTGCCACAGTCAAATTCTTTACGCTTGTGCTTGTTTACTCTTAGGATTAGTTTGCTTTTATATCTGTCATTCTAACTTAGTTTCTACTGATATTATATTGCTCTTATAAAATAGTAATTTTTCAAACGCTTTATGTCTGATTGAATAATTTTTGATGGATGAGAATAAATAATTTTGAGATTTATCTACTCTCAAAACTGTAGTGAGATAGCTTTTATTTTACAATTTTAGGGTTTTTTTGTTTTTTTGTTTTTTTTGTTTTTTGGCTATTAACAAACAAAACTGCTATGAACACAGTTGAGCAAACGTCCTTGTGGTATGTTTGAGCATATTTTGGGGATATGCCCAAGAGTGGTATTGCTGGTTCTGGAGGTAGATTGGTTCCCAATCTTCTGAGACATATTGATTTCCAAAGTGACTGTACAAGTTTATGCTCCTACCAGCAATGGAGGAGTCTTCTCCTTGTTCCACATCCCCTCCAGCATAAGCTGTCATTTGTTTTTTCTTTTTTTTTTTTTTGCTTATAAATATTCTTTTATTATTTTTTTAGTTTATTTATTTATTAAAGATTTTTGTGGGAGCCTAGGCAGTTTGGATGCTCACCTTACTAGACCTGGATGGAGGTGAGGGTTCCTTGGACTTCCCACAGGGCAGGGAACCCTGATTGCTCTTTGGGCTGACAAGGGAGGGGGACTTGATTGGGGGAGGGAAATGGGAGGCGGTGGCAGGGAACAATTTTAGGTTTTTATAATGTTTTCTATTTCTGTCTTTCGGTGTAGACTTTTTTCTCTCTGAGATTAAGTTAAATACATCACCTTCTTTTAGAAAAGTGCTCATTTTATTGATGTTTTAAAATATTTTAGGACATCTCTGCTTTATGATAAGCTAATTTTCCTTGTTTATGACTAACCCTGCACATGACATTTTCTTTGGCTTTCTTACATTGCCTTCCATTTTCCTAAGGAGATAAGAGTCTCCTGACTACTGCTGACTTCATGATGCTCACTGGACCTGTTGTCATTTGTTGCTACGGCAGATGTATCTGGGCTTCATTCAGTGTTGCTTAAGGCCGTGTCTTCTGTTTTCAGAGCTTCTAAAGGAGTATTTCAACAAACTCTGCTTTTCTGGTCACTGCTTTGGGGCAAAATCTTCTGATTCTTAGAATTTTATTTTAAATTTTCTTTTAAAAAAATCTGTTATTTTCTTTCATTGAATAATGGTGTTTTTGACATGTGTCTTCTTCCTTCTGCCCAGCCACCATCGCCATTGCCCTTTGCTCTGACTTCCTTTTCTTTCTGAACTCCTAAAAACTAAAGCTCTGATATGGAGGTATATGTGTATGACACCTTTTCTAAGAAAACACCACACACAAACATACACACAGACACACACTTGTGCATGCATTCACATCTATTCATCCCAGGTAGGGAACACCGAATAGGTAAGATTTAAATCAAAGTCTACTTTGCAAAACATTGAGTTTTCATTTGGGTGACTAACGAGAGTAAGGGCAAAGCATTTCTTACAGAAGTATAAGTGACTCCACACAGGACTGTCGCCAAAATGGCCACCCCAGTAACTATGTGACTGTTGAAAGCTACAGTCCAGGACATCTCTGCACAGCTCACAAATACCTGCAGAAATTCCAAAATCTCTTCTGGGCAGTGAGGCTGGTCTCTTTCCTGGAGGGCAGTGATTTGCTGCTTCTCATAACTGGTCTACCTACCGCACTGGGTCTGTCCTATGCTTACACTTTCCCTTGGTGTTTCCCAGTACACCGAGTATTCGCTAAGCTGTTGGCAATTATTGATTCAATTCCTGTATATTTTCCATTACCTTTTTGGCAGCTCCTGTGGCTTACAATTTCCATCTGAGGAGAGGGGTTGCTACTTTAATGGAGAGTTTCATGTAGATTCTTCATGTTGTTGTTACTGATATCTTCCTTGCATTTTGTCAAGTCCTCCTTTAGGAAGGCTTGAATGCTTGAAATCCACATCAGTAAACACATGGAAAAGTTTGCTTTTCTCTGAATGCTTAGCAGAAATAGGCATCCCGAAGCTTACATCATGCTGTCAAATCGGTACCTTAAATGTGGGGTTTAATTCCCTATTATTTGAACTTTTTCTTTATTTGTGAGATTCAGATGCATTATTTGTTTTGCTGAATAGGGGCACATAACATTTCCTCTTTGATCAGATTTGTGCCTTACTCAGGAAAACATAGCTCTTGAAATATTTTGCTATTCCTCCTCTCTGAAAAACAAAAAATAAAAATACTCGTTATGAAATCACTCAAAAGAAGTAAGATCATTTCTCTCCCTATCTGATTTTTCTCTGGAATTGTTCTACCTTTTTAATACAGGATTTTAAGTGTTTACGAATCTAATGTATATTACTTTATTTTTTTTCTTTTGTTTATGCTTAAGAAGAAACTCTTTTTAAAATACTGAAAATAAGGTTAGAGGTAGCTCAGGGATTAAGAACACTTGCTGCTGTTCTTCCAGAAGGCCTGGGTTCAGTTCCCAGCAACTACATGGAGCAGCTCACAACTGCATATAATTCCAGCTCCAGTTCCTCTTCTGACCTCCATGGATACCCACATGCATAGTGTACATATAGACAAGTAGGTACACATGCATAGACAAAAATAAAACATAAAAAAATTAAAAATAATGAAAATATACAAACATTTTCTTTACTTTGGGGTGTTTTATCTCACGGTGAGCATGTAGCATGTGACAGAAGGATGGATTTTATATATTCTACCCAGTTCTTTTTGTCTTGAAGATGTTTCTTTTGCCAGTAGTGTGCTTATTCATGTAATGCATTTTATAGCATTCTACATTTTTAAAAGCTTGTTGGATATTATTTACAAAATAAAAGAGTAAACTTCTTTTGGTATGCATACATTTCAGAGTTTATTTTACTTTCATGCACTTATTATGTAGAAATTGATATACATTTCTTCAAGTTCCAAAAGGCAGTGCCATAGTCTTTATTCCAAAGGCATTGCAATGACAACACAGTGCTAGTCAGCCTGCATAACAAATATCTGGGAGGAAGAATTCAACTGAGAAACAGTTAATCTGCATCTCAGTGGCAGGTTTTAGTTCACAGTTAGGGTCTCCATTGTCCTTGGGCCAGTGATGAGGCAGAGCCTCAAAGAGGTGTAGTAAGAAGGGTCATTTGTTGGTTCCCAGCCGCCTGGCTAGCTTCAACCTGAAATAATCACACAGAAACTATATTATTTTAAAACACTGCTTGACCGATTAACTCTAGCTTCTTATTGGCTAACTCTTACATGTGAATTTAACCCATCTCCATTAATCTATGTATCACCACGAGGTCGTGGCTTACCAGCAAAGTTTCAGCAAATCTATCTCCAGTGGGAGCTCTATGGCATCTCCCTGACTCTGCCCTTCTTTTTCCCAGCATACTGCCTAGCTCTGCCTAGTTCTGTTCTTCCCTACCATAAGCTCAAAGTAGTTCTTTGTTCATTTACCAGTAAAAGCAACACATAGAGACAGAAGGACCTTCCACACCGTAGAGGAAGGTCATAGAGAAGGGTGCCTCACCTCCTGGCACCCACTAGACAAGCAGAAGAGTCACAGGAAAAGGTCAAAGCTATACACAGTGCCCACAGTGCCCCTCTCCTCCATCGAGGCGCCACCTTCTGCACTTCTATCGACTAGTCAAAATTTGAGGGCACCAATGGAGTAGACCCCTGATTAGGGCAGAGCTTCCATGATCAATTTCTATGTCTGATGAACCTCCATGGTTCACCAAAGGGTATGCTTGCTCATTTCATTCTAATCACTGTATCTAATCAAGTTGATAGGATGTCAAACAAACATTCTTCACAGAAAACTCACGATTGGGAGCACTGTGCTTTTCTCACAGTTTGATTGTGTGGGTTTTTTTGTTTGTTTTGTTTTGTTTTTTAACTCTAAATTATTTTGTTCTATTTTCCAACTAACAGCGATATGCATGATTTTTTCCTTTATAATTTGTATATTCTGTCTGGGTACTTCTGATATACTCAATGTAAACTAAGTTCAAACTGAAAGAATACATTTCTTTAGAAAATTATTTATATGTTCTCAGCACTCTATCAAGTTTTGCTAGGCCAACTCTCTAGGACTTTACTGTAAAATATTATGATATAATCGGTGACTTTAATGTTTAAGCTTTAGTGTATCATTTAAAAATAAACCCCCACTAATGTTCTTCTGAAAGCATTTGAAAAAAAATTTAAATCATTGTATTAGAAATATTAATTGTAACTATATATTATTGTTCTAAAATAAATAATGTGAGAAAATTTATTTTCCCTTACTTTTGATAGTGTCTTATCCTCTTGTGTAACATTTATATACTTAAGTATTAGTTAACTTTAACCACAATTTATTTTAATATGCTGGCCACAAATTCCTAAATCAACATTGTAGACCAAATGCCTATTGTTATCTTATATTTTAGGTTAGTGGGATGGTTTGGCCATGAACGCAGTACAAGATTTAAGATGGATAACAGTAAGTATATTCGATTTTATATTTTATATGCAATTTTGTTTTGCCTTCATTCTGATTTTCAGCTGACTTTGGATTCCATGTAATAGACATGTCCCATGGGGAATGCACTTTGAAAATGTCATTGTGGTTTCCAAAATAAGAAATGACATTTCAGTATGTAGGGCTAAGTGTTTATAGATTTAGCGTGATTTTGTATTTTATCCCTTTGAAGAGAGATTAAAGGAAGTGAAATCTAGCCTGCGGCTCATGTGGCTTGGTCAGATTCCCGAGTAGGAATGGCCAAAACACATGCAGGGAAGACGGGGCAATTTGGTGATCGAGGCCAGCACCAGAGAAACATGACTGTCAATCCCAAGCTGCTGCTTAATTGTTTTGTGATAATGCCAGTCATTGTTCTGTTCCACACATTCAACGTGAATAATGTTGACTTCAGTGTTCAGTTTAAGAGTAAATTAAATTCAAAATTACAAACCCAGTGGTGTACTGGATTGCTATAAACAAATTTTGACATTCATTCTTTCCGGTTATCCCCCTGCTATGGCATTTGCCATGCACCAAAGTATAAGAATCACTATAAGAAGATGCATCAATGGGTAGTAAGCTGCCATGCACTAGGGTCAAAACTGCCCTCTTCCTTTTTCCCATGGCTGTACCCCAGCCTTCTAGAACATCAGAGGTATCATGAGCATTTGTCAGTTAGGCATAAATTTCAGTGTCCAGATCTTAGGAGCTGTTTATATGTCTTTAAATTGGCAATAGCCAAGTCACAGAGTTTTGGTTGACAACACCAGTAAAATTAAAAGCCAGACTGCTAACCTGTTAGCTTCATGCCTGTCACCTCAATTAACTGAAGTAAGATTTCTTATCAGTCATGAGGGAATTTGGTCACGAACTGAGCTGGCTCTACTGCTATGACATAGGAGATAGGAACTATTTTAAGTGCTCTGCTCAGCTCTCTATTGAGTTCTAAAGTAGCCATAAAGGCACATACATATCACCTAGGCCATTGTTCAAAGAGCCTTTGCTTTTAAAAAATGATTTGAAACCATGTAGTGGATTGAACTTTGCTTGCTGGTCTTATTTCAGCTAGCCCAAGGACTGATGACTTTCCAAAGACATTTAATACTTTTCTTTTAGTTTTAAGTGAATTTCTGATCACCCCAGTGTTATTAGATTTACCAACCCCTTTCTTTTCTAGCTCATCTTATATAGGCATATCTTCTATCTCCTCTCCCTTTCCTAAGAAAACCATGTGACCTACTAAAACTCCTAGAGCTAAAATCACTTCCCTAGGTCATCTTATTCCTCTCTCTGCATTCAGGTGACTCAGGTTCACATGCCTTGTAATCTTGATGTGCTCGCTCATGATATGACATTCAAAATAGCTTTTAGAGTATAGTGTAAGAAGGAAATACTATCTTGGAGCCAGGAAGACAGAGGGTAGGGTTTAGACCATTGGTTTCTTCCTTGTGGGGTTCTAATGTCAAGTCAGCTGACAGGGCTGAGACCAAGTCATAGGCATTTCCATGGGATGAAAACGTGCCAAAATTGTCCCTCCTCTGAGTTTCTTTTATTCAGGAATGTCTCTGGGGGAGGGGGATAGTTTTAAATCTTACTTTTAAAATATTGACTTCTTCATAGTTGTAAGTCCCTCTTTAAAGGATGTTGTAAATAATGATACTACTATAAATTATACTAATTTTTCAGAGCTGCAGTTAATCCCTGGGGCCAGTGGATTCCGAATTTCGAACCCTCCCATTTTGTTGGTCTGTCCCTTGCATGCTAGTTTAGAGGTAAGAAACCTGGGCTTCTGCCTTCCTACATCCTGTTCTGCTTGCCTCACCTGGTTGTCACAGGTCCTAAAGGGTTTCTACTACTCAGAAAGATCCTGAATAAGCACTAGCAATGGACAACAGGCAGCATTTCCCACTGGGACAGTGACTATGACTGTGACCTTGAATTTGTTAATTGGACCTGATGTGGGAAGAGGCATCCATGGCTGTTCTACTGAGATGTATATGGACTTGACTGAATCAATGTTCATCTTTCCATAAATCAAATGAGCATACAATATTTAATTCTAAGTTAATTCATTCAAGAGGCTGATATGTACTGAGAAAGAATTGCCAGGCATTGTTGTGATTTCTAGGCATCCTGTTACCTCCAGCTGTGCAAGCCAAGGAACAACCAACATGCCCTGTAAAAGTTACCTAACTTTTGTAAGCTAAATGAATGGAGAAACCATATATAGAATAAAGTGGCTTCACTAAACAGGGTAGGTATTTTATACTGAGGTGTCTATGGCATTATATCTATGTATAATTTTGGCATAATCACTCAGTATTTTCTTTTAAATTAATTTATATATTTGTCTAAATTGATTTTACACAGTATTAATATTTGTAAAATCAGGTTTGTAGATATGTATGTATACAAAAAAAGATATAGATAAATGAACATAATCTAGAAATTAAACTGTTATGTGTTTGATATCACTTAGTGATATTCTAAATTTATTCCAGTAAATATAATACATATAATTATTACTTATCAGGTAATTAAAATTATATAACCTTGGGCTAGAGAAGTGGCTCAGGGGTTAAGAATACTGGCTGCCCAACCACAGGACTTGGGTTTGATTGCGGGCACCCACATGGCAGCTTACAACTGTCTATAACTCCAGTCCCAAGGAATACAGTGCCTTTTTCTGGTCTCTGTGGGCACCATGCAGACATTTGGTGCACATATACACATGCATAAAGAGAAAACACCCATACATATAAAATAATAATACATTTCTAAAGTTATATATTTTATATTGATATTATTATATTATTGAATAAATTCAACTAAAATGTATTTCAAATTATACCTCTTTAAACAGATGTTTTATGCCTCCGTTAGTCAATTGAAGATTTGGGATGTTTTTAATACCTTCTAAATCACCTAATTCGTGATATTTTAGGAAATCCTGTTGTGCAGGATTTGACCTTGAAAGTGTTGATTAAAAAGAAAAGGTCTCTCTTCTAAACCGAAAATATAGTAGTTTTTTATCATGGCCACTGGGTGGCAGTATCAAATTCCTGTTATTGTGCACCTTTATCGCTTGCTTTCTCTTTTCATCCTAGTTTAGGAAGCACCTTCTCAGTTTAACCACTAGATGGAGCATGTGCTGTTTTCACCTTTTTGAACTGTATTGTTTTGATAGAAAATACACCAAGTGACAAGATTAGTTTTCAATCTGCTAAACACCTTTCAAAGTCTTTTGGAGGAAAAGTCTGTGCAGTACTTTGTCTAAGTATATTTAGTAGTTGTCTAGTACTATTTAATAACAAGTAACCATGAAGAGAAACAGTGTGTTTAGTGGTTTGGAGACAGGAGGTGTTATCCCACTTTGCAAGGTTGTAACAGAAGGGCTAAGAATGGAAGCCACCAAGACACACCCTAGTGAGCTAGGCAGGGCTAGCATTTACCTCATTGCTTCTGATTTCCCTTATCCATATATTCTGAAATTGTCCATTTTATTATTATTTTTTACTCAAGACAGGATGGCCTCCAATCAGTTGCCTCCACCTTTGAGGTGGAGTGATTCCAGCCTGGGGGGCCACACCCAGTCCCTCTCATTTAGCAAACCATCTGCACAGAAGAGAGGCAGACTCTCCTTTATTCTACCGCTGGTCTCATGCTGAATGAGAGCCATGTATATCAACTTTCTATTTCCAGACTCTGGGGATCGACTGATCTTTCTCTTTAATACCTAAACTTAAACCTACCCAACAAACCTTAACAGCCACCTGTGGCTGGGCACACAGGTCACATTGGCTTTGGGTTTGGGATTTGGGATTATTGTACCTATTCACTACCAAGGCTATGTTCTAGCCAAATGGTCTTTTCCCCATTTTTAGTTTTTAATTTTTAGACATTTTAATTGAAATATAATTATGTCACTTTCCTCCTTCCCTTTTCTGCCTCTAGCCTCTTCTTCTAACTCATTCTCTGCCCCTCTCCAACTGAGCCTCTTCTTTGATCATTTTTTTTTTAAATACACCCTCAATCTTTGTAGCAACTGAAGTGGTTTCAAAGTTTTTTCCTCAAAATTTTAAACTGCAAAGGTTAAAAATTACAAAATAACACCCAATCCCCATTTCCATTCTCTGATATTGTAATCCCCATCTATTTCTGAGCCAGGTCAGTAAGCATTGGCAAGTTAAGCTCCTTGGCTTTATCTTATATGTTTGGTTTGTTTCTTTCTGGGAGAGAGCAGACCATGCTGTGGAGATGAGAAAGGAGAAATGTTGGGGGGAATGTAAGAAAGAGGGTTTGAAGTGAGAAAATCTGTGCAATGGGGGAAGTGAGGACTTGGGGGAAGGCCAGCTGGAGGAGAAAAAGGACAAAGGAGAAAGGATGAGAGAGTAGGCAGAGGACACCCCTTACTGAAACATGACCAGGACTTAAATGAAAGAAACAAATGATATAACCATTTTGTCTTGTCCACTTCCCTTTCAAAACATTCTGTTTTTGTTTGTTCGTTTGATTTTTATTTTTCGAGACAGGGTTTCTTTGTAGCTTTGTAGCCTGTCCTGGAACTAGCTCTTGTAGACCAGGGTAGCCTCGAACTCACAAGGATCCACCTGCCTCTGCCTCTGCCTCCTGAGTACTGGGATTAAAGGTCTGCACCACCAACACCGGCTCATCCTTTCAAAACACATATATATTCATTGAAAAGAACTTTAAAAAATTGTATTTATGCAGTGGGTGGAGATAAGCAGGCCATGGTGCACACATGGATGTCAGAGGACATTTCAGATTCTGTACTCTCCCTCCACCTTTGTGTACGTGGGCTCTCTGGCTTGCGCAGCAAGTAGTTTGCACGCTGAGACATCTCTCTGGCCCTGTCCCGTTGATTTTTAATGTAGAATCCTCCAGTTGTTTTTCAAGTATATAGAATAAAAATGGCTTTGTTTACAACTCCATTTGTTCAATTGATATTATTAAAAGTATTTTCTATCATCTGTTTGAAACTGTTACTTCCTGTCCACTGCTAGGTGGTGGTCATTTATGCAGCCATTTGTTTACTCTAGTTTTGTAATGAAGACGTGTGGAGCAGAGAAATTTCAGAAATTTCCACAGTTTTCTGGCTGCTAAGTTACAATTTTTTTGAATTTTATATTTAATGTTTGTATTTTATATAGCAATAAGGACACAATTTCTGCTCAATATATACATTTATAATGGTATAAACTATAAAAACTGTTCAAAAACACAAATTGAATATTCAAGCTGAGTGCATGGCGATGAAGCCCAAGAGAGCAGCAGGACAAAAGGAAGGTGTTTCTTCACAAGGCATAGGGACCCAAGTTTGAAAACATAAGACACCGGACAGGCATGGCAGCTGTTCATCCCAGCACTCAGGAGGCAGAGGCAGAGGCAGAGGCAGGTGGATATCTGTGAGTTCTAGGCCTGCCAGGGATCCATAGTAAGATACTATCTCAAAGGAGAGGAAAGGAAGAAAGGAAAGAAGGAAAGAAAGGGAGAAAACCTGAAGGAAGGAGAAAAGAAAAGAAGCAAAAGTAAAGGAAAAGTATATAGAGAAAAACAGAAATAAAATGAAAGAAAAAAGAAAAAGGTGATAGTTAATGGTCTCCAAGAGCTTCATTCCCTGCATATACAAATGAATTGTTAAAAGTGATACCTTTTCCTCCATATACATAGGGTCTTCTTTCACGGAGCCCATACCAAACAGAAAACACTCTCTTTGTACAGTCCTATTTTTCCTTGTTATTATATTCAGGGGATGTGGTGTTTACAAGTAGCTACATAACAGTCGACATATTAGGTACTGTTCAGTAGGATCCTTAAGTACTATAGTGTGTGAGAGGATGTGTCAACGTCACGTGAAAGTTCAATGCTATTATAGTTATGGGCCATGGCTGTCAAGGGTTTGGGTACTTGCAGGGTCCTGGAAGCAGGTGGAAGGGGGCAAGTTGTATTTTACACATTACACTACGTGCATATTTGGGGGCCAGTAGCTGAACCTGAAAATTTTATAGAATAGTTTATTAAACAAGATAATTCTAGAATCTTATGATATCCAGAGAGAAACTTGAGCTAATGCATCTCATCGTCCGTTTCAAAGTCTTATGAGACATGCCTGGCCAGTCTGCTTCTACTCTGCAAAGAGTGTGCTGTCCTAAACCCTGACTGGCTTCGCAGAAGCTTCAGCTGGCCAGTCTTGTTTTGTAAAAGGTAATAAAGCTCCCGGCAGCTTGGCCCTAATGTCCTGAAGCTGGTGGTGCTGTCTCTACAAAGACACCTGCACCGTCCTACACCAGCCTCTGCCTGCAGTTGCATCTTCCTGCAGCTCCATCTGCCTGCAGTAACAGGTGCAGTCACTCATCTCAAACAGTGCTTCTCTCTTCAGCAACTTTACAGCTTTAGGCCCGGACCTCGAGCCTGCAGCTGGACCGTCACTAATTTCACTAAATCACGGTCCTAACTTTTAGCAAGTCCATACCTTATACACAGTATATCCAGAGAAATCTTGGCTTACTGGGTCAAGTCTTATTAGAATTCCTTCTCCCACGTGTTGTTTCATGTCTTGATGAATCCCACTATCACTGAATGACATCACTCACATTTATTCCTGATCTTTTCGCTCATGTTACAGCAAAGGACATTAATGGAGTGCCATATGCATCACGCTGTTAACATTTCCTCCGGTCCTTATGTGGAGGATACATTTTTTAAACAAGACAGAAAAGGCATGTCTGTTCTGGCTCATAATATTAGCACAACAATTATTGTAGACCCTTGTCTCCAATTCTGACAGGCCCATCAGACAGCAAGTGGTAATGTTTGCACAAGTGCTAGAGTTTGCAAGGAACTGAGAGGAGGAAGGTACTGGCAGCTAAATTCCTCAGCAATAATAAATACTGATGCAGCATTGTTAGCATCTCTGAGAAAATCAGCTTCATAATTTAGCTTTGCAAATATAAACTGGGTGACAGCGATTCACACCTGTAATCCCATCCACTCAGGGAGATCTCTGAGTTCAAGGACAGCCTGGTCTACACAGCAAGTTCCAGGGCAGTCAGGGCTACACAGAGAAACCATGTCTCAGAAAACAAACAACGACAACAAAATACTGACTTGGTAAAATATAGTGATCACCAAAATGTTGTGGACAATACCAAAATCCACATATACGCATGTATTTGTCTTATGTAGGATGTTCTGTGGACCAAACTATATACAGACAACAGTTGAATGGTCTTAAGCAAAACTTTCCTTCTCTTGCAAATATTGTTTAAAATGGCATATACATATATTTTCTTCACTATTAATGACAAAGCATTTAAAAAACATGGCATGTTTTAATAGAGAAAAGATTTCCTGAAAGGTGATGAGCTTTTAATAGGTCGACAATGGGAATTTTTTTTATGTGCGATTTACATTTAAGTGTTGTGTATCTTTAAGTCAGTAGGCACTACTAATCTGATTGTCATCCTCAGCTCTTCCAGCAGGCAACTATGACAGCCCTGAGGAGAAAATCCATTCTGCTGACAGGCTATCTGGAATACATGCTCAAACAGTACCGCAGCAAAGGGAACACAGGAAACAAGGGGCCACTTGTGAACATCATCACCCCACCCAGAGCAGAGGAACGTGGCTGCCAGTTAACACTGACCTTTTCCATTTCCAAGAAAGGCGTTTTTAAGGAACTGGAAAAAAGAGGAGTCGTTGTATGTATATGATCAGTTCATGGCTTGCATTGAACCACAGGTTCTCTTTGGGTTTCAGTTTAGGATGGGTCTTAGGTTCCTCAGTTTACATATCATTCCTGTCAGCCAGTCAGGATAAGTTGAACACCAACTTGGCACTCATCACTCTGCAGATTGATAGTCACAAGTGCCCTCTGCTGTTTCTGATCAGATTAGACAACAAATCCTGCTTTTGAGAAATACTCTTGTTATTTACTCAGTTTTTAATAGTTAAGAGGGAATATATTTCATTGAAGTGAAGAAAAGGTTTTTACCAGTTTTGACTTGGAGATAGATAGATAGATAGATAGATAGATAGATAGATAGATAGATGATAGATATACATATGCATATTCTTAAACTTGGTCATGGTGATGACAACGCGACATGTAATTATGTGGTCCTACTTTCAAACCCATCAGCAGTTCTGGGGACAGAGAAACAATTTCTCTCTCTATGATTAAGGGTTAGAGAATTAATAAAGGGTGGTTTCTAAAGCTCCTAGCATCTCACTGAGGGATTGGACATTTAAACTGGTCCCAGGGTTTCATCAACCCTGAGGCTTACCCTCTGGAAAGCTGGGTAGAGAATCCATTTTCAAAGATAACTCTCAGTGACTTCAGAAATATAATTTAGACAGTCACATTGAATCCACTGCTGTGTCAAAATTAAGAAGAAAGTTTAAACTTACAGAGACAGTTTTTAAAAAATGCTCGTGTATTGAGTTTTAGGGAAGACATGATCTACGGAATTTTATATTGTAAGTAGAGTTTCTGTGTGTGGATACTGCTAAGATGACGATTTTCTTTTTCTTTCCAGTGTGACAAACGAGAACCAGATGGCATCCGTGTGGCCCCTGTTCCTCTCTACAATTCTTTCCACGATGTTTATAAGTTTGTCAGACTGCTCGCTGCCATACTTAACTCTGCAAAAACTATCCATGTTATCTAGAATAACTCAAGCAAATCTCACTTCACTACTCTTGAATTGTAGTCATTAATAATTATCAGGAAATTGGTTGTATAGAACTGGTAATAATTATATAAACTTAAAAAAAACTTGACAAATGCATTAATGACTGTGTTGCTGGGGAATGTAGAGTCTCTAAGGCTCGGGAATCAGTCATTCCGTGGCTCCAACCTGTAGGCCACTGTCTTGATCAGCTGTGTATTCCCTGGTCACTGAAAGGTTTTCTGTTTAATCTGTGATTAAACTGACAACTTTATAATCTATGTGGACGTCTTGTATCAGCATAGGAAATGTCTCTTCAATTCTGATGTAAAAACAAGTTTTTCTTTTAAAACATGCAACTGAGTCATCTGAAATATGTATGATCTTGTGATGTTCCCTCCAATTCCAGGAAAAGAAAACCCACTTTCTATGCCATTACAATGTGTGTGTGCATGTGTGTGTGTGCATGTGTGTGTGTGTGTGTGATGCACATACATGACAGATGAGGGTGAAGATGCTTAGGCCTACGTGCTCATGTGAAGACAGAGAGAAACACTGGCTATTTATAAAAATGTTATTCATATATAAATATATATATATATATGTGTGTGTGTGTGTGTGTGTGTTTTGCTTGCATGTTTGTCTGTTCATCATGCATGTACATGCTCTGTCCACAGCAGCTAGAATAGGGTATCAGATCACCTGGAACAAGAGTTACAGCCATTCATGAGCTGCTTTGTGGGTGCTGGGAATCCAACCCAGGTCCTCTGGAAGAGCAACCAGGGCTCTAGTCCTCTTAAGTATCTCCCCAACCCTTCCACCTCATATTTTGATACAAGCTTTCTCATCAAATCTGGAACTCACTTCTTCAGCTCGTGTGGCTGACCAGTGAGTGAGTGTTCAGGGTTTCTCTGTCTCTGTCTCTGTCCCCTCCCATTAGTGCTGGATTACAGGTGCACACTGTCTCACATAGATTTTACATGGATTCCGGTGTCTGAACATAGGTTCTAATGTTTGGGCAGCCAGCACTTCAACCACCAAACCATTCCCCAGTCATCGTTTTGCTATTTTAACTTTGTTTTTTTATTTATAGTTTGTGTCTTTCACATCATGCATCTCCATCCCATTCATTTCTCAGTCCCTTTGTATCTACCCTCTGCCCTTGAAACCTTCCCACCAAAATAAAATAACATTTAAGAGAAAAAGAAGAAGAAGAAAACCAATTTCATCATAGAAGCTGTAGTTTGACACGGTGAGTCATGCAGCAAACTCTTTTATCCATATATCTTAATTGCAAGTGTTCAATGCAATGAGTGATTGGTCTGGTTCTGGGTCTTTGATTTCTGCTACACTTTGATGCTGGGTTCTCACCGGAACTCCTCTTGGTTACCCTGCTGTTGTGTTGTGGAGATCCCGCAGCTTGGGGTCTGTAAGATCACCCCCTTCACGTGCTCCAGCACATCACAGATGAGTTAGATGTTGGGGTGAGCCAGCTCATAAACCTGGTTCTGGACATGGGTAATTGCAGGGTTGGTCAGCCCACCAGCTCTTTCTTATCCTCACTACCAAGGTGGGCTCTTCTGCATTGCCCCCTTGGAGTGAGGAACAAGAAGTGGGGCCACTTCTCCTGTTTTCACGTCCTCACCACTTCTCCTATTTTCACGTCCTCAGGTGACCCTATTTTCCCACACCTACACCTTCGGGGCCAGTTCTACTAGGCACCACTCTCCTGAGTGCCGCTGCTGTTAAGGGGCAGGAACAACTATCTTACTCTTATGATCTCAGGGCTAGCTCTCGCACCTGCCTCAATTGTTGATGGGTGTGGGATGTGGGGGGGGGGAGCATCACTCCCCCCGCCTATGTTGCCACATAACAGACGATTAATGGGGACTGCTTTCCCATGCTCATAAATTCGTGTCTGGCTCACGCATACCTGCCATTGGGGTTGGTTCTATTGTGTTGCCCAGGTGAGGTACAGGGCCTGCTCGCCTGAGTGTTGCAGCTGGTGGGGCCAGAGTCAGCTCTCACTCTCATGACCTCAGGGCCAGCTCTCCCACTGCCTCAAGCTTCATGAGGGTGCATCTCTCCCTGCTCGTGCCACCAGATGACTGACGGCAGGTGAGTGATAGGGACAGCTCTCTCATGCTCCCAGCTTCAGGACTGGCTCACTCACGCCTCCTCCAATGCCGTTGACTCTATTGTGCTGCCCAGGTAAGGTGAGGTTGGTTAAGGGGAGGGTCGGCTCCCTCACCCACCACAGGTGGCTGGGGAAAGGGGGAAAGGGCATCTTTCTCTTACCCTCACCACAGCTTGGCAGAGAAGTGGTTTGTGGTCAGCTACACCCTCAGGTCTATTTCAGTTCCTCCTCTGCCATCAGGATCAGCTCGACTGTGCTTCCCAGGCAAGGAACAGGGCCCACTTTCCTGAGCACTGCAGGGGGCAAGAGGGAGGGTCATGAGAGATGAATTGTGAGGACAGCTCTTGCACTCTTACAACCTCAGGGCTGACTCACCTCCGCCTCCACCAGCAGGGTTGGTTCTCTTATGCCACCCAGGTGAGGTGGAGGGCCTGCTTCCCTGAGTGTTGCAGCTGTGGTAAATGGGTCAGCTCTTTAGCCAACTGGAGAGGGTAGGGACAAGGTGGGGGGCATCTTTCCCTCACCCCTACCACCACAACACCGATAAGGGAGGCAGTACCAACCATGCCCCTCTCACATCCTCAGGGCTCAGCCATTGCTTTTGAAGCTACTACAAACATGTATCTATTGGCAAAGTATTCTAAAGTCGCATGTATAAACAGCAAGATATAATGCTTACTACATGACCGGGGGTACTAATTGGATGAACTTGAATGAAATAAACTAGGTCTGACAACTACTTTTGATGCAGTAAGTAATACAATGTCAGACCGTGGCAACGGTACCGACACACACGACTCTCTTGTTTACTAAGCAATTCAATTCCATATATTCCGCACATACCTTGGCTAATGTAACAAAGTTCTCTACTGCACTATCTTACCTTCATTGATGAAATGGCTCTCAGGACCTTGAACCTCATTCATACATGGTTTGAATACATGTATTCAAACTGATACAATCTCCATTTCCAAGGAGCATAGATCCATGCAGTTCAGTCAATTAATGGTGTTAAAAAATAAAATAAATTCTTAATTACAACCAGTAGCATCCATTGATAATGTCCTCCTAGCTGGCCCCCTGTTGCTAGGATAAACATTGTGCTGGCTTTGTCAAATGGACACTGGATAGAGTCATTTGAGAAGAGAGAACCTCAGCTGAGCAAATGCCTCCACCAGACTCACCAGACTAGCCTGTGAGCAAGCTTGTGGAATGGTTTTAGTTGATGACTGATGTGGGAGGGCCCATCTCACTGGGGATGATGCCACTCCTTGACAGGCGACCCTGGGTGCTACAAGGCAGTCTGAGAAAGATGTGGGCAAAAAGTCGGTAAACATCAGACCTCTGTGACTTCTTTTTCAGCCTTTGCCCCCAGGCTATTGCCTTGAATTTCTGTCTTGACTTCTGTGGATGATGGGCCACAGACTGTAATGTGAAGTAAACCATTGGCTTTGCGAGTTGCTTTTGGTCATGGTGTTATAGCACAGCAGTGAACTGTTAACTAAGACAAACACTATCACCAAAAGCGACTTAGGGAGGAAGTGGTTTATGTCATCCTTCAGGTCATACTGTCCATTGTTAAAGGAAGTCAGGCCAGGAACTCCAGCAAAACAGGATTTGGAAGCAGAAACCACAGATACATTCTCCCTATTGGCTTGCTCACAGGTTTCTGTCAGTTCCCTCTCTCATACAGCCTAGGCCCATCTACCAGGGATGAGGCACCCCAGCCCTCCCCTGTTATTTAGCAATCAAGAGAATGCCCACAGACATGCCCAGAGGCCAATCTGATAGAGGTAATACCCTCCATGAAACTCTCTCAGACAAGTCTGGGCTTGTCACAGTGACAGCTGACGCTAAGTAGAATAGATGACAATATGAACGGGAAGACTTAACCTAGTGGTTGAGCAACGGGAAGTGTTTGAAGATGTTCATACGATTATATTAAAACTATTACATGCTAATCATACTAACATTTTATCAAATTGTAAAGAGAAACCAAGGGAGGAATTTAAGTACCTCATGTACAGAACCCACAATGACACAGCGTATTACAATGCAGTTCCTTTCCTTCATTCCTGTTGTCACTTTTATAAATAACTTCCATGTTTCCAAGAGTTTTACATTCATGTATACCCATGGAAATGAATTAATTTTACTGTGTAGTAACTGTAGAAAACACTGGATCTACTCAACTGTCTGCTTTTGCTCAACATCATTTTATCATTTTGCTTTTATTTTTGAAATTCACCTATTTGTTTCATCATTACAATGTAATATTCTATTCTGATAATAGTTTACAAACATTTAGAGACAACTTGTAAGTCACCTTTAAGTTTTAATACATCTGAGAAGATTTTCTGAGCATTTTCAAGCAATTTTATTGTATTTTTCCCATGGAGATCATTATGTAATCTATAATTACTTTCTCTTTTATAATTCCATTTTTTATGTATAGGTGTGTGTGTGTTTTATATAAAAAAAAAAGAAAAAAAAGGAGGTCAAGGTTAACTTCTGTCTTTCCAGCTTGCCAATCTCTATATTCTTTCTGCAATTACAAACTGCCTTAATTACTACAACATAGTAGGACCTGGCATCTGCTAAATGAAGTATCTCATCCTTTATTTTTAAAAGATTGCCTTGGGTATCCTGGGCCTCTTTATTTTTACTTATAAATTTAGAATATATCTAAATAAATTTAGAATAAGTAAATTGTGCTCTATAAAATCTCCTGCTGGGATTTCAATTGAATGGCAATTAAATTTTAGTTCAGTTTTGGAAGAATTAACTCATTTCAGCGTTGAGCCTGCTTACTCAAGACCATAACATTTATTTTCATTTATTTATGTCTTCTTTAATGGTTTTTGAAAAGTTTGATTTTCTCTGCTAAGACACTGCACAGTTAGAGTTCAGAGCACTTCTGAACCCCTCACGTGATACCTGTTGGAACTGGGTCACTGGTAGCAGCTGCTGTATGGATGCTCAATTGATAGGTATGTTTTGAATGTTTATTTAAAATCTAACTCCCTGATGTTCACTTAGCCATGGAGTCTTCCATGCAGGGAGTTATTATCTGCAAGGAAGCTCCTACGTCCTTTTTAATTTGGGAGATTGATTTTTTTTTCTTGTTTCTTCTCTTTCTTTTAAATCCTTTAATCACCCAAAGGCTGAAGGGTTTTAACACATGGTTTCCAGGTGGAAATGTTATTTTGGAAGGCTATA